CAAAAACATGGCCAAGTGGGGCTGCTTTTAATATCTCAGAGTCAGCTGCGGGGATCCAATTATTTTCAGTTTGGATACATTTCCCCTTTATCAATATCTCCGTGTGCATAAATAAGATGAAAGTGGCCCTGCAGAATCAAAGAGAAGTGGCACTCCTCTTGCGGGGCAGACTGGTTGGGTCTGGAAGTGTGTGGCCAGTCTTCTCCCACGCAAGTTTCTGATGTGGGCCCTGACCTTCCTATCGATGGCCAGAGACAAGAAGGGAGTTTAGGCAGAGAGATGAAGTTACAAATAATGAAAGAGGGGTGTGTGGGTGTGTGTGTGGCGGCGGCGGGGGGGGGGGGGAGACGCTCAAAACAGGAAGAGGATGTGCATTAAACCCGCCATGTCCCCTTCCAAGTGGCATCAAAGTGGTAATGGGTGATTTCGGCTGTGCTAGGAGTTCCTCTCGTGTGCTGTTCCTGCAATTGAAAACACAGTTTGGCATTCTAACTTCCTTTGATTTCCCAGCCCAAGCCAGAAGGTGCCAAGTACCACATAAATAGGCTACCTGTACTAAAATGTAAATAACACGGTCTCTGCTGACCCTCCCAGGCCAGACGCCATCAGGGAGACACATAGGAAGCCAGCCAAATGGGGACAGCTAAACCACCAAGCCTCCTGGCTTCTGCCCAGAGGACTGCCTGTTCCAGTAGGAAATCACCATCACCGAAGCCGACATAACCAGCTTCTGCAGAAGAGGGCACGGCAATGAAGGGGACAGGTAAGCATGGTGCAGACTAGCCCTGGCCACACAGCCACGAGGACAGGAATCACAGGGGTCTGCGAGAGCAGCTTTGATGTTGCAGACAACCAAGCCTCATTTCATCCATGGGGGGAGCCAGGTGGTGTGGATGCAACAAGAACACCTGACACCTGGCTGCCAGGTGACCATGTTGTGTGTTGTGTATGGCACAGGCAGTCCCCTGACTCATAATGTCTTTACCCCAAAGGCTATTTTCCTTTCATTTCAAAGGGTTGCCAGCGATCTTGGAACTCCCTCCAGTAAGGGTCAATCTTCACATTGGAACCCAGAGCCCCGAGCACCTGGTGGTTCCAGACTCAGTTGTCCCAACTGTCTACTACACAGTGTGACACATAAACATGCCCACCAAGGGTCCCCATTCTTAGCCCCAATTCCAGATAACTGTCCCCTGTTGCTGCCTCTATGACCATCTCAACATCCTCCCCACATACAATCAATATTTTAAGTGTGTGCTTAAATGGTATCAATAGCAATGTGTGTGTGTGTGTGTGGGGGGGGTGGTGGAGCTCCGATTCCAGCCCAGATGTAGTTAATTGTTACCGCATCGATCTCCCCTCTAACATGATTCTTTCTCCAAATCAAACCCCCATTACAGAGTGGTGGAGGGCATCCTCTCCCCTCCTGCGACAATAAATTTAATATCGAATGTACTGGAAAAAAATGGCAGCTGTTGCAGAATCCATCCAAAAAGATTTTTTTCTTTTGCTTCCTGGGAGTAATTAAAAGACGCTTTCCCTGACTAACGATCCCCCTGTTTAGGAATGGGAAGTCAATACTGCTTCAGCTGTTGTCAGCTCCAATTGATCATGATGCTGCTCAAGTTTGAACGGCAGTTTTCAGGGCGGCTGAGGATTGCTGGAACCAATTATAGGCCATCCAGAGCTGCCCTAATAGGGGTGTGGGGACAACAGGCAGAAGGCCAGGCAGCTGCGCCAGGCGCCTGTTCTCCCAACCTGCTCGCAGTTCTGGTTGAGGCCAATGCATGGTTGTTTCAGGGGACCGGCTGCTTCTTTATAGAAAGATATGTTGTGTGTGTGTGTGCATGCACACATACACACATGTAAGCATGTCTATACACATGTATGTATATGTGTTTGTGTGTTGAGATGTGTAGATATGTGTGTATATATGCTGGGATGTGTCTATGTGTACAAGTGTGAGTATATATATATATATGTATGTACTGGGTGTATATACATGTATATAGTGTTTGTGTGTTGGGGTACACGTGTGCTGGTATGCTGCAGTGTGTGTATGTGTATGTTAGGATGTGTGTGTGTATGTATTGGGTGTATATACATGTATGTATGTGTTTGTGTGTTGGGGTACATGTGTACTGGTATGCTGCAGTGTGTGTATGTATATGTTAGGATGTGTGTGTGTGTATGTATGTCTGTATATGAGCAGCAGGTTTTTAATTATATTCTAGTCAGAATGAATCTCCTTAATCACGCTGAAACCGATCCAAGTTCTGTGGAAAAACATTTGGGCCCTTGTTTCAAAGAGTGACATTTGTTTTTTTTCCTTGAACTAGCACCAACATTTATGAAACTATTTCTTTTGGGGCTTAGTTTCTGGCCCCTCAATGCTTCTAGTAACTGGCCTCAATTCCTCATGGAGAAGGTGGGAGGCCTGAGGGTTGGGATGGGGTAAGGCATCTTGGATAGGCAGTACCTAGACTAGATATCAACTTCCTTGGGGTGAATTCCATTCTGATTTTAGCCCAGACTTCCAGGGTTTTCTTTCTCCTTGGGGAAAGGGTAGGGGATGGATGGTGAAGGTGGGAGGTAGTAGGATCATAACTGTACTATGAATGGGCTGTAGTATGTCTTTAACACTAGAAACCTACGTAGCCCTGGCCTTGGTCTGTCTTGGTCCTTTCCAATCTCCCTGCTGGTGACTTCAGTGTTCTGAGGAACAATATGGAATGAGGTCAAACACAGACTATACATCCTACCCCAATCCGGCTGATACCAGGCATCCTGGCTCAAGAGCTTCCCAGAGCAAACCCATTCTTGCTTCTTTAATCTGAGGAGGTCCAGCCCTGCAGGAGGCACGCTGCTGGACATGCGTGCTGTGGGCAGAACCTTCCTGCCTTTGCTTAGGCTGACCTATCCTCCCACACCTCTCTTTTGGAAATCAGCCATGGTTGTAAACTTCCCAGGAACTGGCATCCTCAGCTGGTTCCAAGAAGGCCCACGTGTCATGATACTCATCTTTTATTCATCTCCTCCGTCTCTCTTCTTGTGAGTATTTGGTAAATATTTATTAATTTAACCAGACAAAAGAATTTCCTGGGATAATTTAACAAAGATACAAATATGCCTCCAGATCTCATGCCTGTCTGAAAACTCAGAAATTCCGAAGTCCCATCATGAGAAGCCATGGTCATCACACCACACCACTGCAGCCTTGGGAAGGAGTCGTGACTCAGAAGGGCTCTTGAAACTTGACCAAAGGCAAGAGGTCCACCTGCAGTCACCCTATTTGTGAGGCAAATGGCTCCTCTCACCTGTCTCTAAGCTATTACAGGTGCTGCTGGGCAGAACAGAAAGCTATAGCCCTCAGAGCTCAGGGCAAAGAGCAGTCAGAACTGGCCATTGCCCGTACAGTAGCCACTCACTGCTGGGTACATGAAGACAACCACACAGCAGCTTCTAATTCTTCTATGCTCTACACAAACAGCAACCTTCTTAATTCATGGCATTAAACATAGTCTACATGTTACTTTTAAACCTAAAAGGTCAGATGCATAAAGTTAATTTTTTCTAACTCATATCAATGTTTTCTTCATACATTAAACAATTTAACTTCCAAGTATCTTTTCATTTTCAGATTGAAATTTAACTACACTATGAAAAAAAAAAAAGACACTACAAAGCAAATAATGTTTTAGGATTGAATGAAGAGCCCAGGTGACTTCCATGTGAGTTTTAAATCAGGGAAGATAATAGTGAGACAGAGAAAAAAGGGTAGCATATCTTTGATTTGTGAGAAAACCACTCCTAACTGTGCTACCCAGACTAACTCATACAATGAGGAGCTGTCACAGCAAACCTACTGGGTGTTAAGCACACTATCGCACCTTGTGGCCCTCCCTTCCTGTTCCCCTTCCTGCCCTGCCTAACACAAATAGCATTAACGTACGCCAGCTTCACTCCTGATGTGCACCAGAGGGGGCGCCATGCATTCATTCTGCAGTGTTAGTGAAACACTAGGCCAGCAGGTCTCAGGAGATCACTGGCTAGAACCTGGATGTGCAGCCTAACCACTGGTTTCCAGCCACTTGGGCTCTGACTGTATCTCATCACCAGGAGAACAAACAAGCAACAAACAAGCATACTTCAGATGCTGAGCATGACATGCCTCTTCCTCTCACTACCTTGAGAAGCGCAATAGAAGCAGGTCTCAAGCCCATGTGGGGGAGATAGCGGGGGGGGGGGGGTGGGGTGGTGGTGGTGACACAGAGCATGCAGCACCTGAGTACCTTGGATGTATGTCCTCAGGTAGACCAACTAGAGATGAGCTGACCCCTCTGCTACTATGGAATTGGATTTCTTTAAAAACGGGCTATTTTAGCCACCTCTTAGGGGAATTAAATATGTATGCATATCCTCAAAAATGGTTTATAATTGGTGTAAGTGAAAAATGGGAAACTAAATGGCCTCAAAAATAAATGCGTTTTTATCCTGGATAACAATTAGCATTAATGAGGAGTCACCATACATTATGTTTAACTGTACTTAATTAAATGTGTTAGAAGTATATTTTAGAAAATAAAATACATTTTCTTAATCATAAACTCACTTGTTGGCAGGGGCAGGTGAGGAAGTTGGTTATCCACAAGATGCTTAGCAATGGTGTACAAAAGAATACAAAACCAAAGAATCAAAAATTTATAATTAGTGTTAGCACAGCTTGGGCCTATTAGAAATATATTAATTAAAGTAATATATTCATAAGATTAGAAGTGTAATACATTTCCAAGAGGGGAGAGGAATCCCCAAGGCCTAAAAATAAACATAAAAAATTAAGGAGTTTGAATCATTCAGTCTGCTTCAGACTAATTTCAAATACGGATGCTTCCAGACTAGGCTAACCGGCATTCCTATAGGTTGCCAGGGTCACCGCTGCAGCTGTTCCTGAGGTCGTGCCCAGCAGTGCAGCTGCTGGAGGAGCACCTGTGCATCCCTACCTTGGGGAGTCCAATGAGGGTTTCGTCCGTCCTTGGCTGCTCTCTTCCCACACGCTGTTAGCCAACTCATTCCCAATAGACGACATCACCTTGATCAGCTCCATGGGCCAGTCATCAAGATCTAGAGATCGGACCCTGGAGAGGTGGGTGCCAAGATTCCGGTGGATCCCTGAGCACTCGATGCACATGAGGGCTCCCAAGTTCAAACTGGCCCAGTTAGGGTCTACAGAAAGAGAAACGGAGAAATTTCAATCAGACCGCCACCAGTCCTGGACTCTCGGGGACACCTGCTCAGGCAGCCAGTCCCCACGGTCACATGTTTTAGAGCGGTTCCTGGTGTCAGGGGAAACATGGTAGTTGCTGGCAGCTGTGCCAAATTCAGAGTTTCTCAGAATTGGTGTTCATCTGGACAGAGATACCTCTTCTAATACTTTAGCAGCACAGCTCAGGACTGGTGCACGTCAGAAAAAAAGTTGTGTGTTAAGAACTGCTGCTGATGGAATGAGAAGCAGAGACAAGGTAACTGAGTACCACCCTGGCTCAGGCCATGCCTGGAGGTCTCACTGGCCCTCATAACCCTTTGTGCTACGGTTAGCTCAGGTTGGTTGGGTTAGCCAGTTTCGAAGACGGAAGAGGCACACTCCTGTGTGAAGGTCAACAAGGGTCTTACTCAAGGGTGCCTATTGCAGCAACTCACAGGGTTCCACTGGTCACTGGCGGGTGAGTGTGCAGGTACTCTAGTCATATCAAGACCCAGGTCCCTCAGCTGTGACTCGTGGAGTGAGTACTCTATGTCTCAAGCTGGGCTGACAGGACAAGGATACGGTTCTGTTAGATGCTGGGCTTGTACAGAGAATGGCTTCGGGGGCGTAGGGCAGATCTGTCATTGTGTAATGATATCATCAGAAGATCTGGAACTTGGGCCCAGGGCTGGCTTTGAGTTTACAATCTCTAGGAGTTTTGAAAAGATAGACTGACCTTAATGACCACTGGCTCTCTTTGTTATTAGGAAGAGAGGCTAAACTCATACAGGTAGAACTGGCATGTATTCAGGTCAGAAAAACTGTCATGTATTCAAGTCAGAGGAGTCAGAAAAAAAAAAAAACTGATCTGACCCACTGGAGAGACTTCCTGGGCTCTCCGCAGGGCAAATGACCATTGATGGTCACATGATGACTAACCAGAATGTCAGCAAGCTATGTATAACATCAGTACAACTCAAGAAGATGGCTGATTCATATCCCAGAGCCCTGGAAAAGAGGCCTGTGATCTCAGAGATGTTCTGACTTAAGCAAAAACCTAAGTCTCAAACAGAAGCAGAGAGAACAAGGTACAGAAACATACAGATTCGTGTGAAGGCAAAAAGCAGAAGACAATTGTGTTGTGGTTTGGATGTAAAATGTCCCTCATAGGCTCATGTGTTTGAACAGTTGGTCTCCAGCAGGTGGAGCTCAGCCCCATTTCCTGTGCTGTCTGTGCGCCCTGATCCATGGAGACATGAACAAACAGCTGGCCCCGCAGAGGAACCCCTCCCCTATCACATGACAGGCTGTAGCTTCCTTTCGTGTAATTTCTTGCCAGGTGTGCTGTGGTCACGGGGACGAGTGGGCACAGCACAGGGGGCGGTACAACTGCAGGCTGGACTCAGCTGATGAAGAGCTTGCATACCCTCCTCCACACGGCTCTCGCCTGCTGTCTGCAGCCCCTTAGAGTGTGGCTCCTGCTATGCTGCCCCCACCAACTCTGGCCACTGAGACAGGGCTGTCATAGCTGCTGGCCACCTCCATGGCTACAATTTTAGCCCACGGCTGACTTTCTATCCACTGTCCACCTCCCAATTCTGCACATGATGCAGGTGAAGTTAAATGTCTCTTTGGGATTTTCTCCATGGTTTCAGTATTTCCTCCTCAGGTTGGCCCCCACCTTGGCTCCTGTAATCTCTTCTCTTCTGATGCCATTCTCTCTGCCTGGTAAACCCAGCTTGACTTGGCTTTTGTGACAACCCAAACTGTAACTGTCAACAGCTCTGACCTCTTTCTCATTTACCAGCTGGAACATTTTGCACAGACTTCCCTGACATCAGCTTGCACTGATGATGCTTTCTTCTGTCAGGGTTCTTTCTGCATCTCCCAACAGCACCAATGCTCTCCCAGGATCTGGGGAGTCAGCCCTCATTCTTTCATTGTCCCCACAGACACTCTCTCCAATTCAGCCCTTTCTTCTTGATCTGAGCCCCCACACATGTCCTTACTATCTCCTCACAACATGGGACTGTCACAGCTCATGTCTGTATGTTCACATCCTGATCCCTGAAGGCACATCCCAACAGCAGCCGTGAAATGTTGGCAGGCCCAGTCACGTAACACTGAGACTCAGAACCTGCTGTAACTGCTACCTGTCACTGGGATCAGACAGGATAAGAACGGAGCCTCACCCCTTTCTCTGTCTCATGTGAGACCCTCACCGCCTCCACCAGCTTGTGGACAACACTACCATCTCTACCTGGCATGCTGCTCTTCCTTTGCTCTCAGCTAGAATTGCCTACAGCTTCCTTGGTCACCTCCTACCCCCAGTGTAATATGGTGATATCACAAAACCTAAGCCCTGCTTTGGGCAGAGCTTGGTGTGCCCACTCTTCTTGGTGGCTATGGACAATAGAGGCTGTGAAAACACACTATATCAGGGTGAATACAGAACAGCCTCACCGTAGCAGAGGCTGGTGGGTCAGACAAGATCTACTAGGAACTAACAGTGCTCTAGCCAGACTGTATGGGCAGCACTAGCAATGACAGAACTTTGTGGACCAGGAGGCAGAGGCTGGGCTGCTTCCTACCTTTGATCTGGAAGGTCTGACATACTGGTGAGGACTGTGTGTGTGTGTGTTTGTGTGTATGAGACAGACAGAGAGACAGAGACAGAGAGCGAGAGAGCGAGAGAGCGAGAGAGAGAGAGAGCGAGAGCAAGCAAGCACACTCTGGGATTCCCCGGGTTATTTTCTGGACATGCTGCTGGTGGCTGGCAACTAGTACTCCCAAAACAGATTTCTGTTGTCAGTGGTTTCTTGAAAGAGCTGTTCTCAAATACTGATGGGCCTTGCCCTGAGTGGTGGATAGCACTGACTTTTCCAAATTCACTGGACCACAATTTCACTTTATAGACAACAGCCCATAGCTAAGGTGGCTCCATGCCCTCTTTGGAAACTGTTCTGGGACAGGCTGAGTGTGCAGAGGAGACACCTGGTGACCTGCAGTAATTGTGGCCTCAAATCCCACATTGTACCAGAGTCCGGCCACATTCTCAACCCCCAGAGGGTAATACACATGAAATGGTGGGCCACTGAGACTCTTTTGGGTGGGTGGGGGTCTTTCCCTGGAGTCCCACTGTCTGTCACACCAACAGATGTCACCAGTACCTCCCTTTAGAAGTGGAGTGGCTCTGATTTCAGTCCACAGAGTCCTGGAGAGGGACATCTTTAAGTGGGTGTTTGCTCCTTTCTTGCACAGACCGTCTTCCTACCCACTGGGACCCTTTCTAAGGGAACTGCTGCAGTCAAAGGCACACAGCCTTCACAGGCTTCTAATCACACTGCCCTGTGAGCATGCTCACATCTCATTGCTGGTGTGGCCTAAGGGGAACTGTTTCCTGGCATTTGCACCAAAACTGGGTATTTACACTAAAAATCCCTCCCTGCTTGCTCATGAACTTCACATCAGACTCTCTAAGCATCTTAGGCCTCTGAGGAAGCAACAGGCTGGCGAAGGGTGTGGGATGAATTGCATAGAACTGCTTGCTACCTCAGTGACCTGGACAAACTGCTGTGGTCTAGACTCTTCCTTCCCTGTCCTGTCAATGGGCCCATGACAGTGCCAACTATCCAAAAGATAATTCATGTGTGGACTAGACACAGCATACTTGGTGAATGGCCTTCAAACCTCTTTTTCTGAAGCTTCAACTCTGCCTTTATCAGCTCCGCCCCATCTGCTCATGTGGTGTCCACAGTCTGGTCTCATGGCCTCCCCTTCCTGCCCATTCTTAGCATGCTTATATCCACCTCCTCTCAGAAAGGACCTGTGACCTCCAATTTGCCACATGCCACAGTTTCTGTAAAGCTATCAATTGGTTTCTTTTTGAGGAATCTCTAGTTGCATGCTGGAAACAATTACAGACATCAATCTCTGGATTTTTTTTTTTTAATTTGCCTCAGGTTCTGTGCTTTAAAAAATGTCTGGTTTAAGGAATGTTTTGGACAAAAACACACTTCAAATATATGTTCTTTTCTCTTCAGCTCACGTTTTGAAAGTAAAATTTAAAAATTCAAACAAAGAGAGACTTTAAAGCAGCGCCCAAAGGAGTCTGTGGAAGAGTGTAGTGTGCCCTTCCTGTCCCGAGGACAGGCTCCTGCTGGGCTGTGGTCAACTAGGCCACCTGGACAACCTGCTGGTCCGGGCCCTTGAGGTCAGTTCAGCTCTTTCCCCTCGTCCACAGCAAGTCTGGGCTAGTGCTTCCGTGTCTCATGAGGTGACACTCAAAATCCACCTGCAGGTCTCTGGCTCTCTCTGCTCTTCTCCTCTGGTGCACTCAGACTGTCTCCCCATAAAACTGCACAGAATTCTGTACCTACTAGGAGATGTGGACAGCTCACCCCCGCCTACAAATGCATAAAGATCTCACAGCCCTTTGGGTAGTGGCACCCAAGTATCTGCATCAGCTCCATCGTTTCCAGCCTGAGTTGCCACTTTTCTTTTTGGCTCACCCAGGGAGAACTCTGTGAGGCTACAGACTCCAGTCACACGACTCTCTCACACTCCACTCTTCCTCAGAGTCCTCCTGACAAGCAAACTCTGGTGGGAAGCTAGCTTTGAGGTTGAAGATCTCAAAAACCTATGACCCTTTTGTTTCTTCCCCAAGGCTGTTGACCATGTTCCCTGGGTGCCTTGCCCAACAACACAGGCATGTTCAGTTCCCAGACATCCCTCACCTGAACCAGCACCTCTGTTTGAACTGCATTCCCATGCCCCTCAAGACCCTACGTAACAATATGAATGGGCAAAGTTTATTCAACATGGCTTCTGAGGGGGGCAGACTTTGCCCCCCAGGATATAAAAAGAAAACTTCACCCTCAAAGGGAATATTACCTTTTGCACAACAGAAAGCGTGACATACTGGGGTAACTCCAAGAGATGGAAGTCTTTATAGTTTCAATCCTTCAACCACTGTGATGCTTGAGGCTTAAGCAGGGCACACAGAAGTCCAGTGTATAAGAAAAGACACACTTCCAACAGTAAGGCTGTGTGAAGGACACTATGTTCAAATTGAACCCAGATCTAAACATGTCTAGCCCGACACGCCGCAGCTGATAACAGATCTAGGGGCACCGCCAGCCCTGTATACTTACTCTGGGTGTCACAGTCCACACAGTGGGAGTTCCCTCTCAGGTTACGGATGGACTGCAGTGCCATGGCCTCGCTCTGGCTGGTTAGTCGGGACTAGGCACAGAGGAAGACAAAAAATGCAAGATATGAGCAGCCAGGAAAAAGCCACACACCTTCTGATGATGTCAGAGAAAAACCAAACAGATTGTGCAGAGATGCAGTGGTGTGCAATTTCCAAACAATTTTTCCTTTTCTGATGTCAAGTTCGGGAGGGAGAGCGACAGGTCGTATGTCAGGATGATTGGCTGAGATGGACAATCCCCAAAATGAGCCAAGTGGTCAGACCGCCATAATTTGTGAATGAACCAAAGACTGCTACATGGAAAATGTCACTGGTTAATGCACCTTCATGCACATAGCTACTTGGTATGAAGATTAAAGAGTGAGAAAAAATAATCTGTGTTATCAGCCAAGGGCCAGGCCTTAATCAGCATGCACAGAGCTATCTTCTGAATCTTTATCAGAAAACCCCAGACCATACCACACATCATAGCCAGAAGAGTCTCTCCTCCATGTGATGACCTCTCAGTTGCTATGAAATCAAAGTCACTCATTGGAGTGAGGCAGGGGCATTCATTCTTAGGGATCTCAGAAGAGATTTTTTTTTCTTTTTAAGGTCCACCTATTGTGGCAACATTAGAAAATTTGGGACACAAGCATTTATAAACTAGGATTCCATCACTCAGAGATCCTCTGGCAGTTTTTCTATGCACAGGCACTGTAGGGAAGCCAGATGGGTACATACTGCCTTGTAGCTTGCCTTTCCTGCTGAGTACTGTCTGTCTGTCTGTCTGTCTATCTATCTATCTATCTATCTATCTATTACTTGATGTCAGCAAAGCCTCCAACATCACCATGTAAGTGCATGCATATGAATCCTCTTAGTGAATGAGTACACAGCAAGCTCCTTGGCTGTGTATTCGGAATGCTCTAGGCATCCTCGACCCGAGACAGAGCCATAAAGAAAATGCTTTCTGTAAATAAATCCCTATGCAGATTCCTGACTGCATAGCAAGGATGAAATCCCGGAAGCAGGGGCAGAGTTGGAAAGGATATATGTATTTTATTTTATTATTATTATTTTTTTTTGGTTTTTCGAGACAGGGTTTCTCTGTGGTTTTGGAGCCTGTCCTGGAACTAACTCTTGTAGACCAGGCTGGTCTCGAACTCACAGAGATCCGCCTGCCTCTGCCTCCCGAGTGCTGGGATTAAAGGCATGCGCCACCACCGCCCGGCTGAATATATGTATTTTAAAAGGCTTATTTATTCAACATGCATTTGATATTACAGTTGAAGCAAAAGTTGATCAGTTTCAAAACTTAGAATAACTTCTTTTGTGTACAAATTCTTCACAAACTGAGGTATCTTGTGCTAAAGAGATGGATGTGAATTTATTGCTTGTTAATTAATACTAAGTTATCATTTACTTACTGCTATTGTTTAATCGGCATTATTTACCGCTGTGTTTTTATTTCCTAAGAAATCATTTAACAAATTAAGTTGGTATCTGGAGGTGTCACACACATGGGGAGGGGGCGTCTACCTACCCCCCTGTTTTTTCCTCCATGTATCTGTACAATGCTGTGACTCACTGGTCGGCTGCTCTATCTGTCTCTGGATTGTCATACTCGATGCTTCTCTCTCTCTAATGGAGTCATCCATGTTGGGAGAGCTATGTCCCATTTGACTCTTTCTTGGTGTCTGGTGTCCTTCAGTTCCTCTCAGGGGAAGCCATTTCCACAAGTGTGCTTGCCCATGGTTACAGAGGGCAGACTTAGGTGGGCTGGCATTGGCGTCTACTTCATGACACCCTTCTGTCTGCAATCAGAGTAGCAAAGATAGAAGAGGCTCTCAAGGAAGTGGAATGGGAGGAGCCCACACTGGCCAGAGCTTCTAAAAACAAGAAGAGGCGTGACTTCAGTCAGAATGTGTAAAATTAATTTCTCCATAACACCCGGGGATGTGCTTGTCTGATCAGCATCATGTGCCCCCTTCCCTGCTCTGAAATCAGAACTCCAAGCCTGTGGATGGCAGGTGTCATTGTGCCCAGGGGTGAGGAGGGAGACACATCACGGCTAGATAGGGACAATACCTGAGAATCCAGGAAGCTCAGAGTAAAAACTGTGGTTCTCCTGAGCTTGGTATGAACTGTCGTCCAAGAGAGAAGCAAATTACATAATAACAATAATGACTGTGGTCTGGCTTACCCTGGCTCAAGAGGGTAATAAAATAACACACCCCACCTCTCTGCAAAGCAGGCTCCCTTCTTAATGACAAAGCTGGCCATCCATCACGGGCAGAGCTTTCTTTAACGGCTTATAAATGAACTGCAGGTGGATGGCCATGTCTTTCTTCAGTTTCCAGTCGATCACAGTTTGAAAAATCAAAATGCTCACCAAGAATCTCAACGGGTCAGCAAAGGACTCTGAGTATCTAAGGGTTCAAAGACTGAAATGCAAAGAACCCGGCTGGGAAAGACAGGACCGGTATAAGGAAGATTGCCGAGCAGTGGCCCAGAAAACGCAGTGAACACACTTTTATTTCTGGCCAAACAACTGCTGGAGAACTCTTTTTAATTACTGAATGAAACATAAACCAGACTTTAAAAAAAAAAAAAACAGAAAATCCACCTTGCCCAAACTCCCTCTATCTCCTCTGCGTTCCGTTTGTATCCCTGTGACATTTGAAACATTTATGAGGGCAGAATAGGGCATCTTTTAAGTCTCTGTGACTTTTTCTGATTTATTCTGCCTCAAACAATAACAACAAAAAAAATAAGTATGGACGCATAAGCAGGCAGAGTCCAAAAGGCTTCATCGCCTACAGAGAGAGGCGAAAGCTTCCCACGTAGCGCCGGCTGCCACAGCAAAGGCTTCATGTTGGACATCCTGCCACACACAGACGGCCAAGCCAGGACACCAACACATGCATGGTGTTTGTAGATACAAAGTGGTTTTATCTTTTCAATTACTTAGTTTTTTTCTCCTCACAAAGCATACCTGGGTCTTGTCATCCACACAAGCCATCTGATGCCCCTGTGTCCCCATACCCCCCTCCTGGCTGCACTTGGGCCTTCTTCTCACTTTAATGATCGGCAGCCTTGATTTGGGGCAGCCTGCTGAGGGCCTTACCTTATTCTTGCTGCTCTCGCAGGACTGTAGGCTGGCTAGGATCTGGCTCTCGATGGCTTGGACCCATGCATCTCGCTCCTCGTATGTGGTGGCTTCAAAGTGCCATGTCTGGCCGGTGAGGGACACAATGATAAACTCAAAGTTTTCTTCTTGCTCTGGAACACAGAGGTGGGATGAAGAGCTCACTTTCATGAGACAGCAGCGCCCGAGCCCATCCTGTCACAAGTGCCTCTGGATTCAATGGCACAGGCATGGGGCTGGCGGCACACACAGGATGGGAGCGCTGAGATCTGATCCACACACCCGCCAACACTCAAGGCCGGCTTCCAAAGCCAGCAGCGATAACTAGGTTTCCATCAATGCTTGGGGGACAGAGAGAAAGGAGAGACAGCGTGGGATTTCAGGGTCTCTGTGTGGGCACAGACCAAGGAAAGTAAGTTTGCAACTTACTGCTGTCCCTTGGATCTGCGAGAGGAAAATGGGGTTAGTTCTGCTGATGTGAAACTGGACTACGGAAGGGCTTGAGTACGGATCCAGGGAACTGCACTGGGAACACCAAGGTGGTGTCAGCACACGGTCGAGCACTCATCAACGGGAGCTTTAGTTCTCATCTCACTAAGACACAAAGTCTTAGTCACAAAGTGACGTCAGGCAACACAGAGGGGATTAGTGGGCACGGGTCTGGCTGGGTGGCCACAGAGACACCTGTTTGGAAAGGGGAAGAGAGCTTGTGTCCACGTCCTGTGACAGTACCTGTCCCTCCGCCTTTAGCTAAGTTCCTGAGGCGCATTTCCCTCCCCTGTGGATTGGGCACAGGCAGCTTCTGTGGAGTTTATCATCCGCTAACTGTTGCATGTGAGCACAGCGGCGCGCAGCCTGGCCACTGGAGGCTGTGTACTCAGTCCTTGTTCTCACTGTCTGCTCAGAGGCGGCACCGCTTAGGAAAAGCAGTCAGAAGCCAAGGCTGGACCCTTCACATGCCTCAGTGGATGAGGAGTTTCTTAGCACTGTCCTGAAACTGGCTGTGTAGTCACAGGAAAAGAGTAACCCGTAGACCTGCTTATCAACTAAGTCATTCCCTGCCCTGCCACTGCACTGATGCCAGGGCATGGTGCCTCCCCTGATCAAGGATGCCATCAAGCCCCACTCCAAGGGGCTGGGACACCACCCAGGAATGGGATCCTCAGGTCTTGAATGTAAGACCTCTGCAATCACCACCACCACCACCACCACCACCACCACCACCACCACCACCACCACCACCACCAATCACTATGGCACACTTGTATGGAGTCTTTAGTGTTCTGAAAAAACAAAACGAAGACCAGCACTGAACTTGGAATGTAAGCAAGGTGTCTCTCTTTCTCTCTTTCAACTGATAACAGGTCTTAACCCCAAGGGGCTCAGTCTGAACACCACCTGGAGGGTGGGCAGGTGGACACACCTGTGTGCAAAGCCTCGCATTTTCCCCAGAAAGCCCATCTCCAGGAATGAAAATGACAGCTGACAGAAGCGTCTACACCCTCCAACACTGCCAAGGCCCATGACTCCCCTGTAGGATAAGAGCTGCTGTATTTCAGTCACGCTCTGCAGCTGTGATATAGTGCCTAGGAGGGGCCAGGCCTTACAGCCATGGCTCTGGCATGTCAGTCCTTTTGGGTGTTTGCACTGAGGCTGTGCTCGTGGCAGGGCCAGAGCATGCCTGAGCTCAACAGTACATGCAGGTAGCCCAAGGAAGCCGTGAGCTTGCCTAACCGTAGGCATGTGTGTTTACTGAGTTCTTTCTTGATCTCTTTGGTTCTTGGCCTTTGGAGTTTGAGTATTAAGAGTTCAGAAAGCAGGTGCTTGTTGTGTGGTATTACCTTAAATGCATTATACTTGGTCATGCTGTGGAGCATTTGTTTCAGTGTTGCATTCTTTGATGTCGCATTTGTTTAGCTTTGTGAAGCTGTGTTACTTTGCCTGTCTAAAACACCTGACTGGTCTAATAAAGAGCTGAATGGCCAGTATCTACGCAGGAGAGAGAAACGGGCAGGGCTGGTGGGCAGAGAGAATAAATAGGAGGAGAAATCTAGGGGAAAGAAGAGGAGTAAGGAGGGAGAAAGGAAGGAGTGGAGGACGCCAGGGGCCAGGGTGGAAAATAAGATATACAGAATAAAGAAAGGTAAAAAGCCCAGAGGCAAAACATAGTTAAAGAGAAATGGGATGTTAGGTTAGGAAAACTGGCTACAAACAAGTCAAGGCTGGACATTTATAAGTAAGACTAAGACTCTGGATTTATTTGGGAACTGGGTGGCAGAACCCCAGAGGAGAAAAAACATCAACAAAAAACAAAAACAAAACATCAACAAAAAAACCCCCAAAGCCAACTACAGGTTGTGGCCAGGAATGGTACTCAAATGAGGCCCATGTTTGTGGAGACGCAGAACAAGCCCACCTGCTGGGGAGGAGCCCCAAGGACCTTGGACATGGGGATTAGTTAAGTTTTTCATAAAAAAAAAAAGACTACACAGTAACTTCAGACAGGTTTCCTCATGGTTGACCTGCAACCACACCCTGCAATTCCCAGCAGAGCCACGGCATCTGTGGGCTTGAAATGACCTGTCTCCTGATCCACGGGCTTCTATGTCATGATACTATTCACTGCAACTTTTACCACACAGAGGTCTGCAAGACAGCACTGATTCAGTACCTAAAACTCTTCAGTGAAGAGAGAGGTAGGGCAGGGACAAGCTATATAATTCATGGGTAGAAAGCAAGGACACTTGGTCACTCATGGGTGAATGTGAATACTGTTCATTAGGACATCTGCACAGCCTCCCCTCATCTGACATCTGTGAAACCCAAGGATAAGAAGAATGCTTCCTCTGGTCGGGATTTACTGCATGTCTGCTGAAGACATGACAACCGTGAGCCTCCCAGTTAGAGCTCTGTACACTCCCGTAGAGGATTTCTGCCCATGTTTGTAGCCTAAATCATGAGCTGCAGTGCAAATGTGAAGGCAAGGAGCCAAACTGGCTTGACTGAGGTGTGGGCTCCGTCCCAGGGCTCTCGGTTACTTCTCCTTCATGCCTTGGGTGTCAGGGGAGGCAGAGGGTGGTCTTTGAAGGCCCTACTTAGCAGGGACAAGCACACCCCTGTATGGATGACAGAGCACAAAATGACAGAAATGGCTGAGTATCTGGGTCAAGTGCGACACAGCTATCATTGAACTTTCTGCCTTGTTCTGATTCCAGCTTAGCTGTAATGGGCAGATGAAGCCACGCAGGCGCAGTCTGGCTCTGCCTTGTCCTGGGAGCCATGCGCCTCCCCCTGCACAGGTACCCAAAGGGCAGAATTCAGAGGAACACCAGGAAACCCACTGTGTTGCACCGTCAGCTTTCCTTCTAGACGACTGCAGCTTCTGCGCACTTAGACCTTTCTCCCTCCTCTGTGTTCCCGGGGTGTCCCCGCTGCACCTCTCTACTTTCCTTATGGCTACCTCTTGTATCTTCTTGGGCATCTACATTATAAGGATTTCTTCTCTCTACTCTGAGCTCCAAGAGTCTCGCTATAAGTGTGTTGGCCTTCATGTAGGATGTACACCCTGCAGACAGACACCTTCCTATTCCACTCCAATCTGCAAAGTAGCCGTGCATGTGCTCAGTCCTTCTCTGCCCTCTCTGTCACAGACACTGCTGTTGCCTTCCCTCTGACACCTCACTTCTAAGCCTGTGAATGAGTACCCAGTCAGGTCATGGCTCTCCTCTGTCTCCCCCAACCCCGTTATCTCTGGAACGGCTGGTGGGCACTGCCCATCATGTCTACTATCTTCCAAATGACAGTACGCTGGACCATGCTGAGTCCACTCGGATGGGAGGAAGGTATGAGACTGGGTGAGGGAAAGGGAGCCGAGCACAGTGACATTAGCAATGGCTCCCTGGAGGTGTTCATGAGCATGCCTCCAGTTCTCAAAGCCACCTCACTACCCTGTACCCCTTTTGGCTGCTTTAGGTCTTTATTGGGGTCCTGAGTGAAGTCTGTTCATCGCATTTTGAAAAGGAGGAGTTTTAGGGAGGACAGAAAAGTCCAGAGTTAATGTACTGTGTGAGAGGCTATAGAGCAACCTGAAAACTCAGTAAAAAAAAAATGTTCTGAAACCCCAAACTGCACGTTTAATTCCAGAAAGTAACAGATGGTAACCCACAAAAGCAAGGGGTGTGGCCCTGCCCTCTCCTCTGGTGGAGGTCACTGAGTGCCACCAGCACACTGCAGTCAGGGATCAAGGTGCCAAGAAGCCCGATACCTTCCAGGGCCCAAGTCCAGATGTCCTTCCAGTCAGCTGCATCCTGGATGTTTTACTGTCTTTGGGTCTTTTCCCCTTTAAAAAGGTTCCTGTCACTCGCAACAAGGACTGATGAAGCCAATGCATGGGCCCTGGCAGGGCCTGCCAGGTGAATGACAGTCAATGTTTACTGACAGCACCTCAGAGGCCTCCCGACTTGGTCCACGCTTGCACTTCACAGTGTGGCGGTGACTGAAAAAAGCAGACAGCCCAATGCAGCTTGCTCCTTCCTCTCAATGCTCAGACATTTCACCGGGTGACATAGTGCCCATCAATCCCTCAATGGCCAGAAGGCTGTGTTACTTCATAAAATGACAGTTGATGCTAGTAGAGTTTTTAGCAAACAGATTTTTAAAAACAATCATAAGCACACCAGGCGCTATGATGTTGATCAGTCTCAGAGGGCTGAGTGTGGCCGCTGTCCTCTGTTCATTTACTGTCCTTTGGAGACTGGGTCTCACTCTGTAGCCCTGGCTGTCCTTAAACTCATGATCGCCTGCCTGCCTTGCCTCTGCCTCCAAGGAGTGAGATGAGAGCTGTGGGTCCTCCCTGCACCCCCCAAATGACAAATGCTTGAATAGTGAGAAGGGTCAGTTTTGGTGTTTTATTCTCTGGTGTCATTTGCAGATACATCAATCACTAATGACAGGCACAGGAGCTTATGCAGAGTTTATTATGCAAGAGACGCAGGTTGTAGAAGACACTGTTGGCATACACACGAGAATCATGTTCTCAGTTCCAGAAACACACATAAGCACAGAGTTATTCCCCACTTCAAGGAGATGCCTAAAGGCCACCAACCCAGCCCGAAGCTCCAGGCTATGCACAGCC